TGCCCTTTATTCTGCAACATCCCAAACTCCCTGTTGGCGAGTGAATCATCATAACGATCCACGTTCTGCGACCCTCATGCAGGCAAACGGAGTGAAGGCCCACTACGGAGCTCAGGATCTGGCCCAGCTTAACACAAAAATTGTTACTCCAGTGGAGCACACTTGTGTTCAGAAGGCAGAGAGCAAGTCCCCATGGAAAGAGAGAAGGCCCGTCCTGAGGGGTGTTGTGTTGAGTCAGTCATTTCAAACAGAGCTAAGTCCCTTTAAAAATGGTCTTTATGGAAGGGGAGGCACTCCAGGACTGGGTTACATCCCTAGTGCAGGTGCTATCAACTACAGCAGGAGTGGGCAATAATTTTGAATGGGAGGCCACTCCAAGATTTTGGCAAGTGCTCAAGGGCCGCATTTCTACCAAGGGGGCTTGGGGTCTGGTGCAGAGGTTGGATGCAGAAGGGACCTTGGGGTAGGAGACTGGGGTGCAGGAGGGGCTGTGGAGTCTGCACGTGAGTTTGGGTGAAGGAAAGGGATGTGATCTGGGGAAGAGGCCAGGAAGGAGTATGAATGCAAGAGAGAATTCTGGCCAACGGGAGGGGCTCTAGGAGTGGGTGCAAGGTCCGGGAGGGAATTGTGACATTGGGGAAAGGGGTACAGAGGGTGTGGGTAGTGGCCTGGGGCAGGTAGTTTGTGGGGGGGGAGGCAGGGTCTGACTAGGAGGCATCTACCTAGGCAGCTTCTAGTCAACAGCCCTGCAGGAACTTGAAGGCTGCAGTCACAAACTGCTCCACGTGGCTCTGCTCTGGGCAGAGTGAAGGAGTTGCGGGGTGAGGAAGGGAAGAGGCTTCATTGCCCGCCCTGCCACCAGCAAAATATCTCAGCAGCTATTGGTCAGAAACTGGACAATGGGAGCTGAGAGATTTTGCTGGGAGGCGGGACAAAGCACAAAGCCTCCCACCTTGCACCCAGAATAGAGTAGCCATATTTAAAGCTTCTGCCACTGTGCAGTGCTTAAGGGTTCCTGTGAGTCAGCCACAGGCTGGATCTGATTACTTGGCAGGTAGATCCAGCCCACTGGCAGCCTCTTGCTCACCCATGGCCCACAGTATCCATCAGCCAAGCATTTCAAACAGAACTCTGCTGCCATGTGTAAAAGCCCGGTCATGGGGCTGAGACTCAAAAGAACAACCAGACTGAGTCAGACCAAAGGTCCATCTAGCTCAGTATCCTGTCTTCTGACAGTGGCCAATGCCAGGTGCCCTATAGGGAGGAAACAGAACAGGGAATCATCACATGATCCCTCCCCTGTCACCCTTTTCCAGCTTCTGGTAAACAGATGCTACGGACACATTGGGTATGTCTAGACTACATGCCTCTGTCACGAGAGGCATGTAGATTAGGCTACCTGGCATAGGAAAATGAAGCAGCGATTTAAATAATCCCCGCTTCATTTAAATTTAAATGGCTGATGAGCTGAGCCCATCAGCTGTTTGTCGGCTCAGCGCGGTAGTCTGGACACTCCACAGTCGACAGCAAAGGCATTTGTCGACTTCCCAGGTATGCCTCCTGGGATGCCCATTCTAGCAAATAGTCATTGATGGACCTGTCCTCCATGAATCTCTTTTTTGAATCTTGTTAAGGTCCTGCCCTTCACAACGTGCTCTGGCAAGGAGTTTCAAAAGCTGACTGTGTGATGAAATCCTTCCTTTTGTTTGCTTTAAACCTGCTACCTACTCATTTCATTGGGTGACCCTTAGTTCTTGTGTTATGGGAATTAGTAAATAATTTTTCCTTACTCACTTTCTCCACCTCAGTCATGATATTATAGAGGCCTATCACACTCCCCTTAGTCTCATCTTTTCCAAGATGAAAAGTCCCAGTCTCTTTAATCTCTCTTCATAGGGCAATTTGAGTCCAGTCATTTGACTCCCATGATTTATTGCTTACAACTTCTGGTGTGTTTTTGCCCTGGAGGAACAAAGCAAGCAATTCCTTTGTTCCCTCTAGCCTGGGTATTTCTGTCTTGCTATCAGCTTTCATTCATGAGTGCTGTCTTCCTCGACAAATGGTGCTGTCTTTGAAACGTAGTGCCCTTCTCTTGCCTGGTGCTGCCCAATACACATCACGGGGGAGCAGTGGATTCAGAAAGCAAGCCGGAGGCCTGGCTCCATGAACAGTGTCGGAATGGTCTCAAGTTCTGCTGTATTGCACTACAGCCTGTTTAAGACCATTATATTTGCTTTGCTAGCACACAAAACCCTGTGTGGCGGGCAGTGCATTAGGCACAAGTTCATGTACAGTAACTGCCTTTGGCTCTGCCCCTGTTTAATCCACAGTGAATATTTACAAGTCAGTTATTGACCTCGTCTACATTAGGGTCTTTGAATGACTGATCCAAACCAGCCTTTCGTTACTGCACATGGCACTGTGACTTTGCACAATGAAATATGTAAAACAGGCAGGGCCTCAGAGAGCTAGCTAAGGCACATTCATTGTGTATTGTGTGTATTTCTGATGGGCTTAATTAATTATAATGCAACCAATAGCTTGATTGTCATGTTTAAAAAGACATGCTGAGTGTTGGCTTGGAGGTGGTGCTCTTTTAGCAGGAAATGTCTCCTTATATTAGCAATATATATCAGCCAAAGCTGAGGGTTAATGACACACATCTGAAAATTGCAACAGTGGTTTCTTATGGTAGCTGATGATCTCTATCAGATGATGCTTAAGAAATGACCATTTGCCAATAACTGCCCTTCTGAGATAAATCTGATTCTGTGGAGAGGAAAGCTATGGAAACTTCTGCTAGTAAAAATAGCTATTGGTTATTTCTGCTTGCTAAGATATTAACCTGAAGCCAAGTCCTGGTCAATAAAACAGCAGCTAATGTTGGAGGCCACAGTAGATTATTAATACACTGGTGCTTTCAGGCTGTGGAACCTGTGAATTATGGACTGTTTGGCTGAGTTTGAGATTGACTTGTTCTGATTCCAGTTAGAGAGGTAACCAGTTAACCAGTGACCCAGGCCTGTTGAAGCAGCTTCCCACGCATAGAGTGGCTCAGTGGGCCCAGGCCCACCACACTGTGCCCAGGGAGCCACTCCATGGTTAACTGATTAAACATAGTGTTTAATTGGTTAACTTTTTAAACAACAGTTTACATCCCTAGTTCCAACATTAAAAGAAAAACCCCTGGATTCAGTTCATCCCTAGTCTAAAAGGAGTGATCTTGGTGAATTTGTACCAGCAATTGGATTAGATGCATTAAGTTTATTTTAGCTCACTGATAACTTTGCACATTTGTACTGAAGTTCTCTGCGGGTTTCCTAATGCTGAGTGATGATGAAGAATCCATAGAGCAGAGAAAGATCCATGGCTTCACAAGCCAGGCCTGCTGGGGGAAATCTTAGCAGAGGCTGTTTCAGCTTCTCAGAAACAAGATTAAATATAAACTGATTTATCAAGTTTGGAATATCCTTGTTAGAGAGGTGGGAAGCAACAAGAGCTGGAGGGGATAGCCATATCCAAGTACCTAAAGGTACAAGGGGGACAGAGGAAAAATTCTTCTCCTCAGCCTCTGAGGATAGGACAAGAAGCAATGGGCTTAAACTGCAGCAAAGAAGGTTTAGGTTGGACATTAGGAAAAACTTCCTACCTGTCAGGGTGGTGAAACACTGGAATAAGTTGCCTGGGGAGTTTGTGGAATCCCCATCTCTGGAGATATTTAAGAGCAGGTTGGACAGACACCTGTCAGGAATGATCTAGAGCAGCAGTTCCCAACCTTTTCCAGATGGGGACCCATTTTGACAATTCAGGAAGACTTGGTGACCCAAAGCCATTCAAAAACGGGGGGAAATGGGAGGCAGAGCCACCTGGGAGTCACTTGGTGACCCTTTTGAAATGTAATGGCGGCCCATATTTGGGTCCCGACCCACAGGTTGGGAAACCGTGATCTAGAGGGTTCTTGGTCCTTCCATGTGGGCAGGGGACTGGACTTGATGATCTCTCAAGGTCCCTTCCAGTCCTATGAATCTAAGGGTGTGTCTAGACTACAGAGTGGACTTTTGTCGACAAAACTATACCTGCGTCTACACTACCGCTGAGTTCTGTCGACATAACGACGCTGGTAAACCTCATTTTACGAGGCATAACACCTTCTGTCGACAGAGTTTCTGTCGACAGAAGGTGTTATTGAATGTAAACTGTCCTTTGCGTCTACACTACCATGTCGACAAAGCAGCTTGCTTTGTCGACAGAACTCAATGTAGTCTAGACGCTCTTTGTCGACAGAAGTTTTGTCGACAGTATCTGTCGACAAAACTTCTGTCGACAGAAGCCTGTAGTCTAGACGTACCCTGAGAGTCTATGGATTCTATGATATTAGCAAATGGAACTTTATGTCAGATACATTAAGGAATTAAAAGTCTCAGAGGGGTAACTATGTTAGTCTGTAACTGAAAAAACTTTAAAAACAACAAATGGTCCTGCAGCACCTTAGAGACTAATGAAAAATGTAAATGGTATCATGAGCACAACTCAAACGAAGAAATGGGTTGTGCTCCCAACAGCTCCTGGTACTGTTTACATTTTCTGTTAGTCTCTAAGGTGCTTCATGACCAAAGAAATAATAACACTGATGTGGCCATTCTACTACTAACTGTTGTGAGAGGAAATCACAGGTGTCTGGTTTTTGTTAAGATGTATTCTAGCAGTTATTGTGAGGAAGCTCTTTGGTCAGGGTTATGCAGAGGGTCCAAAATGATAACCGTCCCTCTTGGCTTTGGAATCTAAGGATCACCACAATTTTTGGCTGAACTCAACACAAACACCAATGTCCTTCCTTCTAATTCACCGCTCAGTATAGCACAGGGCCCACGTTGGATCCTTGCTTTGATATTGTATCCATGAACAAACACATGCATCTGAATAGGGAATGCTGTCCTTGGAAAGAGTTGTATTTGTTTGTCTGGCAAATAGACCCTGTGAGTCTCTATCCTGTATTGCAGGTTGATCCAGCTACTCGGTGAGTGGGTGAGGCCCCTGCAACAGGAACACTGAGAGTGGAGTTGCAAAATCACTGGTGAGAAGAGGTGAGATTTGATAACATGCTCTCAGGGCCACATTCTAGCCTTCATTACATCTGCGCAATCCTGCAAATTTGGCTCAGAAATATGCAATTTAATGAATGGTAGAGGGAGCCTGGGGGAGGAGAAAGAGCAGGGCAACAATATTTTGCACTCATTGGAGGATCTCAAAGCACTGAACAGAGCACCCAGTTCTAAGGTGCAGACATGGCCTCGATGGGAGGAGGTATAACTATTGTGCAAAGTGAGGGCTGATTCCAAACATCAGTGAAATACAACAGCTTTAGCTCATGTCCCATGGCACCAAATGATACATTCTCCACTCCGCCCTACCATTGTCCATCCAAACTAAGGGCATGTCTGCACTTATAGCCCTGTAGACACTGTAGCTCTCAGTAAAGATGCTATCCCAGTGGCATAAGTACTCCACCTTCCCGAGAGGCAGTAGCTGCATAGGTGGCATGTGAACTGTCAGCTTGGGGAAGCTAGCTTCTGGCCCTACCCTTTCAGTAGAAGGCCCCGCCCCCAACTTCTACCAGAATCTGCAGCCTTCCTATAGCAGCCCTCAGCTCCTCCCACCCACAAGCTGCTTGGATGCCCCCGCCCTGAGTGCTGGGTGAGTGGCTTGGCCCCTGGTATGCTAACCCCAGAATATAGGGCAGCCAGAATACTGAGCAGATGGGTGGCACACCCAGAGCTCTGGTGGGAAATAGGAGGGGGTCTGTGGGCAGGACCATGCCAGGCTGTTTTGGGGAGTTCCCCTGGCCTGCGATACCCATCGCCCATGAGTAGCTGTGTCAATGGGAGAAGCTGGTATTTTGGCCAATAGACTCACTATTAAACTCCATGACATAGAGCATTTCCTGGTGAGCCAGGATTTGATATATTTAACTGTTCAGTCCTGGTTTGTGCCCAGAGAAATCACCTGTGAAACATAGATACAATCAGTGTTCCCTGTAAGACAAGCACTTGGGCAGCCACCCAGGTGAGATTCAAGTGCTGCCCAGCTGATTAGCAGAGTGCCCACAGCCGGCAGCATGTGTTTCTACTGGTGGTGCACCCTTCACACATGCCTTGGTGCACAGCACAGCATTTATTCCACACATGGATGGAAAAAATGTAGAGGGAACACTTCATACGATAGCCCCCTTGCATGATTTTAACCATGCTTGTAACATCATAGGGCACATTCTACCCTGAGATACATGCACAAAGCAGCCAGCTACAGCCCTCCCATGTGGGAATGCAGCTTCTAAGGAGAACCATAGATATGCTCATTTAAGGCATTATGGAACAATCCATTTACATGACAAACTAAAGTCTGGGGACAAATCCTGAAGTCTTCCTGGTGGCCCTATAGATTTGGCCTCATATATAGAAACAAGCAGATTGACAGTCCATAAAAGAATTGCATGATGAAATGACTGTGATTTGTTTATAGATAATGGAGACCATTAATTCCACTCTGGAATACCTGGATGATTATCTTGACTATTATTATAATAATTCGAACGTGGTTAGTGTTCAGGAAGAGCCATCGCATGGTGGGAAAGACATTTCTAGGATTCTCTCAGTTGTAATCTACAGCCTCACCTGCCTTCTGGGAATCCTGGGAAATGGCCTAGTCATTGTGATTATTACTTTCAAGATGAAAAGGTCCATCAATGCCCTTTGGTTTCTCAACCTGGCTGCTGCTGACTTTCTTTTCAACATCTTCCTGCCACTGAATATCGCATACACTGCCATGAACTACGACTGGGTCTTCGGGGAAGCCCTGTGCAAATTAAACTCCTTCCTGCTCAACCTAAACTTATGTTGCAGCGTGTTGCTGCTGACAACAATCAGCATTGACCGTTGCGTGTCTGTGGTCTTCCCAGTCTGGGCCCAAAACCATCGGACCATCAAACTGGCATGTTTGATTTGCATTGTCGTCTGGTCTGCTGGTTTTCTAATGAGTTGCCCGTCTCTTATTTTCCGGCAAACTGTATCTCACCAAGGAAAAATGGTTTGTTTTAATAACTACTCCTTGTCCAAGAAAGATCATGACCTGGGTGTAAAGAGACATACAGCAGTCAATGTCATCAAGTTTCTGACAGGGTTTGCCATTCCGGTCATCATCATCATGGTCTGTTACACGATCATTGTCTTCAAGCTGAAACGAAACCGGCTCGCCAAAACCAAAAAGCCCTTCAAAATCATTATCGCCATTATCGTGACCTTCTTCCTGTGCTGGACCCCCTTCCATATACTGAACCTCCTGGAAGTACAGTACGCCCACTTCTCCCATGTGCTATTTGAGATTGGAATTCCCATTGTCACGGCTCTAGCTGCGGCCAACAGCTGCATGAATCCCATCCTTTATGTTTTCATGGGCCAGGAATTTAAAAAGTTTAAGGTGGGCATCCTCTCCAGACTAGTGAATGCACTCAGTGAAGATACCACCTACTCAAGTCTTGCTCACAGGAGCTTCTCTAAGATGTCCTCAATGACTGAAAAGGAGACAGTGTTTCTCTAATCTCTACCCTCAGTACCTTAGGGGCACACCCAAGATAAACTCCCATAGCTTTTTATTTGGAAGCAGAAGATAATTTCACTTAGCTCTTTGAGCATTCTCTAGTGCTCTCCAAAGACCACTTTGCATGAGTTCCAAGAAGTTCCTGGGTTTTTTCTAACCAATCTGTGCATCTTCCTACATTAGTCATGTCTGACGACGGGTGCCATGAATCTTCATTAGAGATTTTCTGACCCACATCATGGAAAAAGTGACAATACCAACTTCAGTCCCTCTTCATGTACCTTTTGCTCTGACCTTTACACTTTTCTGCTCATGCCACCTGAACGGCTCATCAGAAGGACAATATTACCTTAAAGCATGGTGTCCAACCCATCCTGAAGCAGGAGCTACTATAGTGGTTCAAGCCAACTAGCCACATTCAACCTGCCAAATGGCAGGTGTGTTGGACAGCATGGCCTTAAAGCATCCCAAGTTCAAACTGCAGAAATGGATTATTGTGTCCTAGAGTTTGAAAAGTTCTGTGGCCAAAATGCATTTCCATCCATGTGACCCCTTGACTATTGGACTTGTTAATTCCAGTCAGTCAGTCAATCATTCAATCTTGTGCCCAAATTAGATCCTCAAGGATTATACATGCTTGCACATAATAATTGTGTGTTTAAACCCTGCATTAGTGGTGTCTGCACACATGGTATAGTATTTGCCTGCACAAATCTCCATTTGAACATATAATTGCTTAATCTACGGACAATTAGCACCCATATTTAGACTATATGACCTTAAATGGCTAGAAGACTGGGTAATGTAGAAGTTTCCAAATACCACAGAAATTGAAGAGACTTATGCCACGAGAGGAAAAAAAGCACAGAAACAGATTTCCTCTCGCATACATTGGGAAGAAGATAGAGGAAGCCATGAATTGTATCTCTGCTTTGAGAACATCCTTCCAATACTCATCACGGGGTTCAGTAATGGATTCTATGACTTTTACAGACCGCCGGGACGTTTTCCACTTCAGCCTCAAGGTGGCAGAGCTGGAGGTCCCAGAGGGTGGTGGGCAGCAGGGGCAATTCTCTGTAATCTTAACCTTCTCCAGCACACATGATGGGATCAAAATTTAGTCCTATTATAGCTGGAATATATGGTGCCTATTATGGAAGAAAATGATTATGAATATGTTATGTACAGTGTATGTGTACAGACAATTAACCAGCACCTTAAAGGCATATAATATTGGTACTAGTATAATTTGGTTTTGTTCTGAACGTTCTTTTCTCATCGAGTCCACCTGAAGTCAGAGAGGATAAGAATACCCCAAATAAATATCAGACAGAATACTGATAAAAAACTTACATTAACATCACACCAGTACAGCAAAGGGGTCAAACAGTGTTTCTGACATACAAACTACATCCTGGGATAACTTCTTCTACCTCTGCATTTTAGCAGAGCTTTGAAGCATGTTGTGAACTTTAAATGTCTGAGTCATCCCATTGAAGTGGGTGGACCTACACCTGTGCGTGGAGATAAATGCTTTGGTGAATCAGGAAAGCAATCCAATACTGTGACAGCAGGCTGCATTTTGAGATGGGTGGGGGTGTTGTGGCATCCCAGGAAGAGAGAATTCTAAGCAAAACATAGGACACTTTCTTTTTGCAATTTCTTCTGGGTAAAAAGCAGTTTGCCTCACAGCCAGGGCAAGCTCAGATAGTTAGGGTTGCCAGATAGTGTCACCAAAAATACCAAACATATTGGGGGGTGAGGGTGGGAGTAAAGAACCAAAAGTTGTTAACCACAAAAAACAAAACAAAACAAAAAAAACCTGTCCCAAGCAGCTTTCCATCTGAGAAAAACAGAAAATACCAGACATTTTACATGTCTGGTATTTTCTGCTTTTTTTTTTTTACTAGACACATCCTGCAAACACTGGGCTGTCCGGTCCAATACCAGACACCTGGCAATCCTAATGATAGTTTCATTTCATTGGAGCCTCAAGCTTCAAACTGATGTAGCATCTATCACTGCTGGGTCTGATGGATACCCCTTAATCCTTGCAAGGGATTCCCAACTAAGTCCATCATGCTTACAGTTTTCCCTATAAGTTGAGTGCTTGGGTGGCCACACAGGAGAGATTCAAATGCCACCCAGATGATAAAGTACCCACAGCTAGCAGCATGTGTTTTTACAGGTGGTGCACACCCACACATGCTTTGGTGCACAGAACAAAATTTGTTTTGTTCATGGCTGGAAAAAATTAGAGGGAACATTACTCCTCTGGGGTTTACCTATGGGGAAAAAAATGCAGGAGCAGCCAATGTTTATGCAGAAAATCAAGACCCCAGCAGTGATTCTGAAAGCCTGGGCCAACTGGCACAGGCTGGCAGGGGATAAAAATAGCTGTACAGACTCAGGTGGAAACCTGGCGAGAGGGGAGGGTCTTGGAACCTGGCCCCCAACCCAAACAGCAATGTCTCCACTGCTACTTTGACGTTTGCAGTGTGAGCTCTCTCTGATTTACCCATGCCCTGAAACTTGCTGCCGTGGAACTGTTTGGCTGTGTAGTTACCCTAAGTTTGCCTCACACAAGATTCCAAGCCTGGCAACAAGGCACTCCCTAGCCCCAGCAGTTCTCCTAGGGAGGCAGAGAGTTCCAGGGCTAGGAGCAATGCAAGATTTTGTTTCACTTTTGCTCCTTTGAAAAAATCAGTCAAATTGCTGTCTGGGTTCATTTTATTCTGACCCTGCCTGTCGCTGACTTCTCAGGAGAGAAAGTTCTTTATGAGGCTGAATGAGGTCATAGTAGTGCATCTTTCACACACATTGCCCCATGACCTCTTCAAAGACACCATCAATATTGTCATACATGGGGCTTTCACGAGGCTCCAGTAGTGAAATATCTTCCTACAGGAAATCTCTGGCCTCCACACCCTGTCTCCTCGCTGCTCTCAAATCAGGAAAGATAGCCACAATCCCTCGAATTGGGCATGTCAGCTCCACCCCAGCTCAATGCCTATTTATTCAGAGCAAGGCAAAACAAAAACTCCTTAATGCTTCCTTTCAGTCGTGCGAGACTGAAACAAATTTACTTCCTGACCCTTGCAACGAGCATCTTATGCACAGAGGCCTCAGATTAGATTGCATCTCCTAAGTGATGGTTAACAAGACTCCCTTGGAAGGGCTTAGCCCTAAACGGAGTAAAGCAGGGAAGCGGCAAATGGAGGGGGAAGAAAAAGCAGTAGTTAAACCTCAGAAGTCATAAATGCTGTTTGCAAATCAATGGGCTGGTTGATTGGCATTGCCAGCCAGCATGGAGAGGAGAAATCTATTGACCAGCCTGGGTTCACACCAGTTGTGTTCTGGGTACGTTTTAATCCATACATATAAGCAGCTGGAACAACAGCGGTTTCAGAGTGATGTGGGTGCAAACTGAGCTCTTCCCAATAACTGTGAGCAAGAGGCCTTGGCCATGTTTTGAATGACAGCTCAGTGACTGGAGCCCCCTCCCCCCATGCCAATGGCCCCTTCCGCAGCTCAAAATGGGGAGGGGAAGGCTGAGGGGGAGTGGAGGATGTGAGGATTGTACTCTCTGCTCCACCTCCACCCTGCCCTACATGACTCCTCCCTCCCCTGATGTGCCCAGAGGCTTGGGCATGGGCGCTGCCAGGCCAGCTTGACTCTCTTGGGCTGTTCCACAGTGAAGCTAATGGCAAAACTTCTATTTACTTTTGCAGGAGCCTGGAATTGACCCTGTGTTTTCAGAATCACTTCAATAGAAACCTGTTGATTAAATTCCTATAAGGGATATTTAAACATTTCAAATAATGAATCTCATTTCAAGATTTCTTCCCTTTTCATCACCCATCAAGTAACTTTCCTGCCAGTGGCATTACCTTTCAGTTAGACTGCATTGTCCATTAATACATCCTTTAGATAAAATATGGTCTGAACCACTCTCCCTAGCCAATTTCATGCACAGTTAATTTGGGAGATAAGTCATGCTTTTAGCTTCTTGACTACTAGCAATGAGTGAAAGCTGGTGACATGATATTTATATGTTGATTTCTTTGTATCAGACACAGCTATTGATATGAGCTGTAAAACAAGGAAATATTTAAAAAAAATCAAGACAATGATATTTAAAAAATGCAAATTAGTGGACAGATACTTGTAGAGTGAGGCTACATCTAGACTGCAGCATTCTTTCGGAAGAGATCTTCTGAAAAAACTTCTTCCAAAAGAGAGCGTCCACACAGCGAAAGCACATTGAAAAAGCGATCTGCTTTTTTGAAAGATAGCAGCTACACTGAATGGACACTCTCTCATATTTCAGCTATGGTTACTAAGGACAGAGTGGCCACCAAGGCACCTGTGCTTTTTCCTCTTTCCTTTTCTTTCAAAAGAACTGCCTCTTCCCCATTCACACATGCCTTTTTCCAAAGAAAAAGGCTTATTTCTTGTAGAAAGAGGTTTACCAATATCGGAAAACCCTCTCTGTTCTTTCGATTTTTTTTGTAAGAACACAATTGCAGTGTAGACGTAAGTTAAGTTTTTTTGAAAAATGGCCGTTTTCCCAAAAAAACTCTGCAGTGTAGACATACTGTTACGCTGTGTCTACACTAGCGTGACCTTGTGCAAAAACGGCTGCTCTTGTGCAAAAACTTGCTGCCTGTCTACACTGGCTGTGTGTTCTTGCGCAAGTAAACTGACGTACTAATGTATGAAATCAGGGCTTCTTTTGCAAGAACTCTGATGCTCCTGCTCAGGAATAAGCCCTCTTGCGCAAGAGCTCTTCCAGAAGAGGCCATTGTAGACAGGCAACATGAATTTCTTGCGCAAGAAAACCCTATGGTTAAAATGGCCATCAGAGCTTTCTTGTGCAAGAGAGCATCTATACTGGCATGGATGCTCTTGAGCAAAAGCACATCTCTTGCGCAATAGCACATGCCAGTGTAGACACTCTCTTCTGGAAGAGTTTTTCCAGAAGAACTCTTCCACAAAAGAGTTTTTGCGTGAGAACATGCCAGTGTAGACGTAGCCTTAGTGTCCAACCATCACAAAGACCATTTGATAACCATTAGGCCACTCACCATGATCCTACGGGTAGGGGAAATGCCTTGGGTGCGAAAACAACTTGCTAGCAGGCCAAAAGAACTTTTAACACAGAGAATTGCTGCCTTGCTATAGAATTCTAATGCATAGCTCCAAAAACACAGGCAAAGGAAGTGAGTCAGTTTCCACTGGGTTCAAAATAAATTCTTGTAGAAACCTATTGATTCTGTCACTGTTCATTTCTATATTATTTTGCATAGGGGAAGGAGTGACACTTACCGACAAAAGGATGTGATTGTCACCTTGGGAGCAAGACAGGCCAGGTTCAAATCCTGGAATAGCCTCCCCAAAAGCCTGGAATGGAGCTGTCCCTTGTGGCCAAAATTTGATGAACAACATTCTTTTGGCAATGCCCTTAGCTGGGGTAAATAAGCAACGCTCCAGCTGAAAATCCAGCACTGATTTACTCCCATTCAGAACATGGCTCAAATGATTCAAACAAATCAACCTTCCAATTCCAAGACAGATCTAACCACAAAACTTGCCTCCCACCAGCCCCACAATTTGGAGGAGTTTGGATTGGGAGTCAGCTCATATTTCATGTCTCTGTGCCTCGGTTTCCCCACCAAATGTCGATACTGATCTGTCTGCCCCTCCTAAAGGTATTGTGAGGAAAAAGCTATCAATAAATCAGAGGGAGGGGCCTAAATGGCTTTGAGGATCTGTGTCTAAGATGCTACGTGGGTGAGACCCATAGAGCAAAGGGATTGGATAAACCTCCAGCCAAGTGTTTTATCTGCATAATCTTGTGTGTTTCAAGTTGATGGGGAGATGGGGTGCTGTGGGCACCCACTGAAGTTATCAGTTAGATGCTTATCAGCGTCATGGAAAGGTTACACCTTTTTTAATTATCCTACCCTTAGGACAGTGCATTTTGCAAAGCAATGAGCTAAAATACCTTGAAATCAGTATGTACTATTGACCTCTTTGAGAGTTTTGTCCGAGAAAGGCCCTTGGGACCTGATTCTTCCATTATGTTGCAATTGAATTGTCTGTTTTATTTATGTTGGCTTATATAGCTTGTTAGGAATAACTACCTGTATTAAGAGATAAGGTATTTAATTGGTGATGGGCAGAGATTCTGTGTAACCTTCGTAGTTTATTGGCTTATTTCCTCATTTCATCTTGCTGCTAGAACCTATTGAATTGCTTCCCCTCCGTCCATCGCCCCGCATATAATTTATTGTAATGTTTTGCTTAACCAGTGTTAACCAGATTAACCCCTGGTAGCACTCCACCAGCAGCTGTGTGTAATAAATCCTCTTGCCTGTTTTCACCGCATCCAGAGTGTCCAGACTTATTTCCAACATCGTTAATTAATTAACTAGAGCTGCCAACTCCCCCCAGTAAAGTAGGTAAATATTATTTGCATGGGGAAGCTGGGGCACAGAAAGGCAATATGACCTGCTCAATGAGTCAGCAGCACAGCTGGGACTAGAACCAAGCAGTTTCTCCTCTCTTGGTGGTCACACCTCCAGATCAGCTGCTAGAAGTGGGCCTCATCCTCCCTGATTGAATTTACCTTGTTATCTCTAGCCTGATTCTTGCCTGCATATTTATACCTGCCTCTGGAAATTTCTCCTACATGCATCTGACGAAGTGGGTCTTTGCCCATGAAAGTTTATGCTTCAATACATCTGTTAGTCTATAAGGTGCTACAGGACTCCTTGTCACTTTCGCAGATCCAGACTAACATGGTGACCTCTCTGATACTTGACACATTGCATGTGTTCACCAACACTGGTATCAGAGCATCAGAGAAAGGGTCCCCGTGGAAACATGAACAGCAAAGATTTAATTTCTTAGGGAAGGTTAGAAAAGCTATTGACCAGCCTGGCAGGAGCAGCGCCCCCAGCCACAGCCATTTCCTAGCTTTACAAATTAATTAGAAGAGATCAGCTGGGTAGAGCTGGTTTCTTTGTCAATGATCCTGGGGCAGGGATAAGGTCTAGTTCCAGAGAACACTGTGTTCAACAGGGCAAGGTCATGAGTCTGCAGTGCAAGGCTTGTTCTAGAAACGAGGTGGCTGAGTTGCAACTTGTAGCTAGATCT